CCTAGGGCAGGGCCCCATCTCACCTGTTTCCCTTAATCCTGCCCACACCTTTGTAAATTGTCCCTTTATTAAGGTCTCCTCAGTTGACTTGCGCCATCTGCTTCCTGCCAGATTCTACTCACTGTGTCCCTCCCAATTCATCAGCTTGGCAGTCTCATCTCTGCCTTGCTTCCCCTGTACGCTGCGTTCCTACTAGCCAACTACTCATGGTTCCTGTGATACAATCACATTGCTCAGTACCCCAGGATGCTCACATTAATTCCTTCTTCTGCAGCACCCCCACATATGCCATGCCCACCCCCCTCCCTTGCATTTCCCTCTCCACCCTGGCCTCTATATTCTTGAGATGCCTGTGGTGCAAAAACGCTGGTTTTATTAAAGTACGGGGACAGGACCCCTGGGGGCAGAAAAGAGCTGCTGCCCTGGGGGTGGTGGTGGTGAGGGGTGACATGGGAGTTGGGGGACTAGGGAAGAGGGAGGTTTTCAAAAGGGTTTTTGTATGCTAAAGAGGACCTACAAGGTATTGGAGACCTTGCCATTGTCAAATTAAGATTGTTTTTGTTTTCCCCTCTAGTAAAGCAGTTTTGCCCTCTGGAAGTTAGGTTATTGATAAGAATGCTTTTTTCTTGCAAATCACTCAGACATTTGTAAACTGAGGGAGACTCAGGTCTTGCTGTGCTGTGGCCTCTATTAGTTTTCCCTTCCCCTAGTTTCTGGGCAGGCTGGAGTGCCTGAGGAATGTCACACACATCCCACTTGGTTGGGGTTGTTGGGGGGTGGCCGGGGGTGGGTGGTGGGGTTTGAGGGATGTCAGCTGGTGCTTTGCCTTCTGCTCCCTCATTATTACAAAATAGTTTCATTTCAGTAATTAAAAGACCCATTTCTTTTTTTTTTCAAGATTTTATGTATTTATTAATGAGAGACAGAGAGAAAGAGAGAGAGCGTGGCAGAGGGAGAAGCAGGCTTCATGCAGGGAGCCCAACGTGGGACTCGATCTCAGGTCTCTAGGATCAGGCCCTGGGCTGAAGGCGACGCTAAACCGCTGAGCCACACGGGCTGCCCAAAAGACCCATTTCTATGTGAAGTTAAACCACAAAGCTTCTCTGCTCCCCAATCTCCAAGCCCTGGAAGCTACAGTCGGTGCTAGATGGGGCCGGGGCGTGTTTCTATTTCCCCCAGCTAACGTCGGGAATGGTGGATTTTATTCTCTCCATTTCCCCTTCCTTCCCACTTGCTAGGAGGTTTCTGACTCCTGGGTAGAAGCACAGGAGGGAGGCAAGAGGTATATCAAGATCTTGCTGGGATGGAGTCCCCAAAGTCATACGGTGATGATTCCTGCTTTTTTTTTTTTTTTAAGATTTATTTATTTATTCATGAGAGAGAGAGAGAGAGAGAGAGAGAGAGAGAGAGAGAGGCAGAGACACAGGCAAAGGGAGAAGCAGGCTTCATGCAAGGAGCCCGAGGCGGGACTCGATCCCGGGACTCCAGGATCATGCCCTGGGCCGAAGGCGGTGCTAAACCGCGGAGCCCCCCGGGCTGCCCCGGTCCCTGCTCTTTGAATGTTTCAAACTAGCTTTCCCTGGGTTTGAGCCCAGAAAGGATTATTATCGTGGGCACTTCTGGGGGCTCCTGCCCCACCCCCCCGCCCCGTGCATTTGGCTGTACTCCCCGGGGTGTGAGCAGTGCGTTTTCCTCTGCAGGTCACTTCTGTGTCCTCCCCAGCTGCCGGGACTCAGGCAGTCTATGCTGGGACTGGGTTTCTGGCGTCACTTCAGGCCTTCTCGGGCTGCAGTCCTGCTCCCCCCCCCACCCCCCCAGGTCACATGTGGTCCTGGAAGGACACTCTTGTACCCTTGCCCCCAGGGGGTGTGCGCAGGGCGCCAGGTCTCCGGCCTTTCCATTTCAGACACAGGTCCGTGTCACCTCGCATCTCGTGCTCAGTAGACTCCAAGGGTTCCACGGCCAGGTTTGCGGGCACGGCCAGCTGTCCCCCACCCTGTCCCCACAGGCGCGGGAATGGGTGCTGAGGAACCAAACACACACACTCCCTCCCTCCACCACAGTCCTCCCAACCCGGAGCCGGGTGTTTGCTGGAAGGCCATACCTGCCTCCCCGCACCCTGCTGGCAAGTCCTGCGTGGCCTCCCACCTGCTGTCCCGCGGCCTCCTGTCCCCCCTCAGCCTGCAGGCCCAGCTGTGGGGACGGATGCCTGGTGGGCAACGGTTGGCCTGCTCGCAGCACCTCGGTGAACCCAGGGCCATGGGTCCTTCTACTGCGCTGGAAACTTCGACAGTCAGTGGCCGAGTCCACTGTCAGACCCGGAGACCCTCGGGCCTTGCTCCTCGGCCTCTGCTCCCCGCAAGAAGGCGCTGCCCCCAGGAACTCTTCTGGCTTCCCCGCCTCCCTTTCCCCGTCCTGAGATGGGGGTGGGTTTGAGGGGTGCCCCAGCGGGGTGGGGGTAGACAGTTGAGGAGAAGGGGGGCCAACTCAGCTCAGCCCCTGCCACCCTCCTCTCTCTTCACACTCTTCTGTCTGCAGACCAGGAATATTCTGGTTTGCCCTCTTGGCTGGAGGGCAACGCTGCTCTGTTGGGCTGCAAAGTTGGGACGGGGGTGGGGGGTTAGGTCACCTCAAGAGCCTGCCAGCAGGCCCGCTTGGCTGTACACAGGCCAGATCCTTGGTTGTTCTATCAGCAGTATCATTGGCGATGGTCCGACCTCCGTCCGTCGGAAATCTGTAGGACTCAGGGCCTTCTCCATCCTGGTGGGAAAGAGGTCTTATTTGGGGCTCACTTAAACACCCTCACAAGCCGTAGAGATTTTGGGGGCCCCTGAGTCTTTAAAATTTCTCAAATCAGCCCTCAGCTTTTAAAATTAGGGAGATTTTAACTGAAATTCTGGATTTCCAGCTTATGGTAATTTCAATGGTTTGGCAACACTGGGGCTGCATGCCTCATGGAAATCATTCCTGAGACACTCCGCAGCCGCTCCCCCTTTCGGTGAGGCCTGCACTTTCCCGTTCTCCCCAGTTTCCAGCAGAGCTCCTGGGTTTGGTAAATAAAAATGCAAGAGGTCTAAAGTTGAAGTTCAGATAAACGTTGATTTGGTTTTGTTTTTAGTGTATGTCCCCTGTAATTCATGCAATTCATTTAGGATACCTCCTACTGTGTCTGGCAACCCTACAATCTAACCTCCCTCACTCCTTCTTGGTGTCTGCTTGGGTTTAGAATCTAAGCATTTCCTACCCTGGGACCCATTTTTACTTGTCTTCATATCATTATTTTTTTAAAAGATTTTATTTATTTATTTATTCTTGAGAAACAGAGAGAGGCAGAGACATAGGCAGAGGGAGAAGCAGGCTCCTCACAGGGAGCCCGATGTGGGACTCGATCCCAGGACCCCAGGATCATGACCCGAGCCAATGGTAGATGCTCAACCACTGAGTCACCCACACACCCCTCTTCATATCTTTAATACCTAATAGCGCACTCAATGTTTATGGAATATAGTCTGGGGACCAAAATTCTGTCCCATAGAGAATGTCATTAAGTCTCACAAGATGAATAAAAAGTGATAACCTCTTGCTAAACTCATTTTGGATAAAGATTATACATTCGCAGTTATTCGGGGGCAAGGGGAAGCCAGCCCTGAACTAAAATTCTGGACCATCAAGTTGTAGGTTTGACTGGGTCACTAACTGAACAGAGATGAGCATGTCAATGAGCCTCTCTGGAGCCCCAACTAAGGACTATGTATTTGGGGATAATAAATCAGTAAACTCGTGAATAGGTTACTTTTTCATGTCCCCAGGCACCATTTCAAGAACTGATCTAATATGAAATAGAATCCTAGAACCCTAGAAATGTATATAGTATACTACTTCTTTTGGAGTTTAAGAGGTCATTAACTAATGCCCACCATGATTTGATGACAGCTACTTAGAGGGAAAATATGTATAAATTATCACATCTGATGCCAGTTCAAAACACTACAACTGTGATTGATTTTTTTAAAAATTTGAGTCTAGGGCAGCCTGGGTGGCTCAGCGGTTTAGCACCACCTTCAGTCCAGGGCGTGATCCTGGAGACCCAGGATCGAGTCCCACATGGGCTCCCTGCATGGGGCCTGCTTCTCTCACTGCCTGTGTCTCTGCCTCTCTCTCTCTCTCTGTGTGTGTGTGTGTCTCTCATGAATAAATGAGTGAAATCTTTAAAAAAAATTGAGTCTAGTTGACACACAATGTTACATTATTTTCAGGTATACAACACAGTGATTCAACTTCTCTATACATGATGCTATGCTCACCAGAAGTGCAGCTAGCAGGCTAGAACAGTGATATTTTTGGTAAAAGGTATGCCTTATAATGAAGACACTTTGGTATACATGGGAAGTTTGGGAGATGGCTAATTATCTGAAACCTTATGAACAGCAGGACATCAGGCCAGAAGGGTGAATCAACACTTATTGAGCATGTATGTGTGAAGTGCTTTCATTTAAATCAAGGTTTCTCCACCTCAGCACTATTGACATTTGGGGCTGGGTAGTCGTGGAGGCTGTCCCATACATGGTAGGATTTTTAGCAGCATCCCTGAGCTCTATCTACCAGATGCCAAGAGCACCAGACCCCCCGTTATGACAAGTATAAGTGTCTCCAGACATTGCCAAACATCCTGGGATGGGGGGATGAGGAGGATGTCCTTGTGAAGAACTACTGATTGAAATTATCCAGTTGAGTTAAATAATTCACAACAACCCAGCAAAGTAAGGCTCCCGCGGTCTTCACTGTGCCAGGGTCATGCTGTGGTCTACGCAGACCCGGGTGGGAGCCTCCTCCTTTGTCACTCTGGTTTCCCCTTAGTCTCCTGGCTACCCAAGCAGTATAGCTTGTGCCAAACGTCTCACCAGACTCGACCATGACGTGACACTGTTTCTTCTACTTCTCTCCCTGTATCCCCGGGCTCCAAGAGACCCAGACTGAGTCTGTGGGGCTGGGGAAACTAAGCTATCACGGGGCTGCTGTTTGTCCTGCCTCCCTTCTCTGATGGAAGGTATTCATTCAAACCTTAAAAGTGTCAGGACACAGAGGGATAAGAATCTAACTCTCATCGAGCACTATCTGCCAGGCAGCAGCTAGTAACACCTGCTTTACCCCTGAGTTGCTCAATTCTAACGTGGGTGGCTCTCGCTTGTTTAAAGGCAATGAATGAACGTTTTCAGGCTACTGTCTGAGCTCTTGTAAGGTAGATGGAGGTTTACAACCGCCAGGGGGGTCTTGCAGTGTAAGCTGAAACTGGCCCCTATGTGCAGGGAGCAGCGAGACACTAAACAAAGAGGCAGGTAGGTGGTGGGTGGCAATTTTAATAACAGCAAAGGGAACTTACAGAAGAGGCCTGTCTTAGGTGGCAGTAAGATCAATGGGTCCCAGGATACGTCCTCCAAATCTTAAAAGCTTAGAAAGAGGCCCTCACTGGGTTTGGTTACGTATGTACGTATTCTGTGCAGGTGTTTTCAACATCACATCACCATCTCCAGGCTGTTAGACAGGAAAGGCAAGCAGAACGTTCCAAGGGGAGGGGGCGTGGAGCCTCTGATCCCCCAGGTCCAGCTCACTGGTCAGTGTACGGTGGGATGATTTGATATTCGGATATATTGCAAAATGTTTACCACAGTAAGGTTAGTTAACATATCTTCTGCAAACACATCATTTTGTCGTCATCGTCGTTGTTGTGGTTATGGTAAGAGCATTAAAGCTCTACTCTCAGAGCAACTTTCAAGGATCCAATACAGTATTGTGGATAGTCACCATGCTGTGCATTGGATCCTTGGATCTTATTAGTCCTGTAACTGAAAGTTTGTACCCTTTGAGCAACATCTCCCCACGTTTCCCCACCGCTCAGCCCTTGGCAACCACCATTCTACTCTGTTTCTATGAGTTTGATGTTTTTAAATTCTGCATATGAGAGATCACATAGTATTTTTCTTTGACTTATTTCACCTGGAGGAAAGCCCTGGAAGTCCATTCACATTGTTGCAAATGGCAAGGTCTTCTTGTGTCCAGGGCTGAGTACTGCTCCACTGTGTATATAATCACGTAGCACAGGCTCATCCACTCATCTTTTGATGGACACTTACGTTGTTTCCATGCCTTGGCTATTGTAAATAATGATGCAATGAACCTGAGACTGCAGATACCTTGTCAGTCTCCTGTTTTCATTTCCTTTGGATATATACCCAGAAGTAGGATCACTGGGGCACATGGTATTTCTATTTTTAACGTTTATTTTTTATTTATTTTTTTTATTTTTAACGTCTTGAGGAACCTTGGTACTGTGTTCCAGAGGGGCTGTGCCAGTTATATTGCCATCAACAGCACACATTTTCTTCACATCTTCACCAACACATGCTGTCTCTTGTCTTCTTGATGGTAGCCAGTTGAACAGAAGAGAAGTGATAGTTCACAGCACTTCTGATGTGCATTTCCTCGATGATTAGTGATGTGGAACACCTTTTTCCATATAACAGCTGGCCTGTCTTCTTTGGAAAAGAGTCATTTTTTTCATGTCTCTCATGAATAAACAAAATCTTCAAAAAAATTGGGAAGATAAACCTATTGGAGGATATAGTTCATATGGATTTGGAAACTGAATTTTGATGGAAATAAATCACCGATGGTCTTCAAACCAAAACAAAAGCTAACACTTTGGTGATTCAAACAGACCTGGTACGTCCGTCCTCTCTGTGTCCTCTCCTATACTCTGGAGCAAAGGAATCCAAGAGTTACATGGTCTGGGAATAGGCTGCAAAGTTGCTTCACTCCAAGTGCCACACAGGAATATGAACAGTAGGTGGCACTTTTGTGCTATCTCCAAATTTTCAACCTTTGAAGGGAACTAACTGAAGAATGACTCCTAAGGGAGAAACAAATGTATATGGTGCTCAAGTGGATAAACTTGATTTCTAATTTGAGCGGAATCTGAAAGAGGAGAGCTAATTATAGGATCAGTCTGTCTTACTTAGTAGCTTGTCTCCAACGGTATCTTGGAGATTTCTTATGTAGACTTCCAAATATTGTGAAATATTGTGGCTTTCTTCCAGACTAATAAATTTGCAGTTTGGAGTGGTTCCAAATTACTGTAGCAAGTGGAATTACATGAATTCTTTTTTTTTTTTAAAAGATTTTATTTATTTATTCATGAGAGACACACACAGAGAGAGAGACAGAGGCAGAGACATAGGCAGAGGGAGAAGCAAGCTCCTTGTGGGGAGCCCGACGCAGGACTCGATCCCAGGACCCCCGGATCACGCCCTGAGCTGAGGGCAAATGCTCAACCACTGAGCCACCCAGGTGCCCTGAATTACATGAATTCAAGCAGGCTTGAAGTTAGGGGGAAAAAAATTTCCCAATTTTGGCCATGTTCCCAAAATTCTATCTCTGAGCTTTTGCTGTTTGCAAAGGCAAGGAATAACAAATAAAATAAAATAAAATAAAATAAAATAAAATAAAATAAAATGTGGAAAAGCAGTGTGGATTACTAAGAGAACAGTGGAATGGAAACAGAGATGTTCCATTCTTCTTTTTGTAAAATTTACTGGTAGGCTGGGATACAGAATTTTACATGTTTAACAAGAGGCCTGCAATCATGCAAAGGGCATCGGTGGAGTCTGGAGGTACCCGCGGAAATCTAAAGCTGTGCCCCTTCCTGTGTACCTGGGGCCGGTTACTTCATGCCTCCGCATATCAATTCCCCCATGTAGAAATGTACATGGTAATAATAGCATCTCTCTGGTAAGATCCTTATGAAGACTAAATGTCAAATTTGTAAGTTACTTAGAGGAGTACTCTGCAGGTAGTGAGCACACCACAGGTAGAGGGAAAAAAGTTTCTGAAGTCAGTTTCTGGGGTGCGTGGGTGGCTCAGTCAATTAAGCGTCTGCTTCAGCTCATGTCATGATCTCAGGGTCCTGGGATCCAGCCCCACATCTGGCTCCTTGCTCAGAGAGGAGACTGCTTCTCCCTCTCCCTCTGCCTGGCTCTCCTGCTTGTGCTCTCTGTCAAATCAGTCATCAATCAATCAATCAATCTTTAATTTTTTAAAAAGTCAATTTTTAGGTGATGGGCCAGTGGGTGATCATTTTCCTTCTATTAAGTTAAGAACATGTATTTTCTGACAACTACAAGTCTAAAATTTTTTTACTAAAAGACTGAGAGAAAAACCTGTACTTAAAAACTTCTTGTTTCTTTTGAACTAGTTTCTACATCCCTATCTTTTTCTCTTTCTCTAAATCTGCTATACCCAACATCAGACCTCTCTCAGCTATGAGAAATCCTGAGGTCTTGGTCATAGTTTCCAGAATTAGTAGTTTTGATCAAAGTTGCATCTACATCACATCAAATTTACCACTTTACTCTTCAGTGTACAAGTCAGTGGCCTGAAGAACTTTCACAATGTTTTCAACCACCGCTAGTACCTATTTCCAGAAGGTCACCGTCTCAAACAGAAACTCTGCTCCCGTTAAACAATAATTCCCCATTCTCAGGGCGTGATCCTGGCGTCCTGGGATCGAGTCCCGCATCAGGCTCCTCGCAGGGAACCTGCCTCTCCAACTGCCTGTGTCTCTGCCACTCTCTGTGTGTTTCTCATGAATAAATAAATTAAATCTTTAAAAAAAATTAATTCCCCATTCTCCCTTATCCTCACACCTCTGGTGGCCTCCATTTTACTTTGTGTCTCTCTGAATTCAACTATTTGAGGAACCCCATATACATGGGACCATGCAATGTGCGTGTCTTTGTATCTGGCTTATTCACTTAGCGTATTATTTTCAAGTTCCAGTCACATTGTAGTAGCATTGGAATGTCATTCCTTCCTATGACCAAATAACGGTCCTTATAGGTACCTGTCACATTTGTAGTGTCATCTGTTGGACAGGTGAATTGTTTCTACTTTTTGACTGTTGTAATGTTGCTATGAACTTTGGTGCACAAGCATCTATTCTAGTCTCTGCTTTCTTTTTATTTTTTTAAAAGATTTTATTTATTTATTCATGAGACACACACACACACACACACACACACAGGTAGAAACACAGGCAGAGGGAGAAATAGGCTTCATGCAGGGAGACTGATGTGGGACTCGATCCCGGGACCCTGGGATCACACCCTGGGTGGAAGGCAGGCACTCAACCGCTGAGCCCCCCAGGGATCCCCTAGTCTCTGCTTTCAATACTTTCCTGTATAAACCCAGGAGGTGGGATCCCCGGTGGCTCAGCGGTTGAGCGTCTGCCTTCAGCCCAGGGTGTGATCCTGGAGTCCCGGGATCGAGTCCCACGTGGGGCTCCCTGCGTGGAGCCTGCTTCTCCCTCTGCCTGTGTCTCTGCCTCTCTCTCTCTCTCTCTCTCTGCGTCTCTCATGAATAAATAAAATCTTAAAAACAAAACAAAACCCAGGAGTTAACTTATGGAGGAAGTGCCAAACTGCTGTGCACAAAGCTACCACATTTTACATTCAAACCAGCACCGCAAAACTGTTTTTAAGTATTGTGTTTTTTTGTTTTTAAGTTAAACCTAGCTTGGGAATAAGACAGCTTAGATTCCTGCGGCAGCGCGTTGATGGGCTGCTGGGATGCGCCAGCCGGGCTACCGCAGTCCCTGGACTCGAGTGACGGTCCTCGCACCCGGCGAGGACCCGGCGAGGACCCGGCGAGGACCCGACGCGCCTGCGCCTGCGGGGTCTCTGCAGACGCGGCCCTGGCTCGTCCCGCGCACAGGCCGCAACAGGCGCCTCTGGGCCCTCGGAGCCCAACGCCGGCCAGTCCACAAACTTGGACTTGAACCGATACCGAGACCTAAAGGCACCTCCTGGCTGCTTTCGGTTGCGACGTACAGTGTCGACGAGGACCGGAGTCCGCGGCCGGAGGGCCTGGCCGCAGGTGCGTCTGCGGGCGCGGGCACACCTGCCCCCCCCCCCCCCCGGCCCTCCCAGGCGTGGGCCGTCGCCGCCTCGTTTCCTTTGCTGCCAGTAACGCGTATCTCGGTACGTTTCGCGGTGCCCCGCCCGCGCTGAGGGAGGGCCAGAGAGGGAGACGGACCCCGCAGCGCGGGCTCTGGCCCCGGGATCTCGGACCGGCGTCACCGAGGCCACGGCTTGCGGACGCCGCCATCGGGTCGACCCGGGGCCCTCGCGGCCGCTCGAGCTTCTCCCCGAGGCTCCCTGCGGCCGCGGCTGTCACGGCGTCGTCCGTCCACCAGCACCTGTGATTCACATCGCGACGCTCATCGTGCCCCACGTGGCGACTACCTGAGTACAAGTGTGTCCTCCGGGGGCTCAGCCCCCGCGCGCGAATCAGCGACCACCAAGCCGCCCTCCCTCCCTCCCTCCGTCCCTCCCTCCGTCCCGGGGCGGGCGCAGACCTCCTGCAACCGGCGGGCGCTGTCTCTTTAACATGCAATAGAACTCCGAGCGCATCGATCAGGAGCCTCCCAACCCTGCCGCCCAGCCGCCGCGTTTCCAGCCCCGGCTCGACTTCCCCCCGTGCCGGGCTCGAAGCGCGGGGGTCCCTAAGCCGCGGCTTCCGTGCGCGGCCACACCTGCCCCCGCGGCGTCCCGCCTGCCCCGCGGCGGGGGCCCGCCCCCTCCCGCGCCGGCACGCTTCGGGGCTCGGCTGGCCACGCCTGGAGCGCGGGGTTTGACTGGGCCGCCGTTGTTGTAGTGACCGGGAGGCGCCGCCGCTCCGGGCGGACGGTTCCGGGCGCCTCACGGTCCCCCCTCCTGCCCCGTCCCCTCCCTTCCCCCCGAGGCCCCCCGCCGGCGGGAGCCCGGCGCCGACCGCTCCTCCCATGGCCGCCGCCCCGGTAAGGAGGGGCTGGGGGCGCCTCGGCGGGGCTGCCGCGCCCGCACCTGGCGGGAGGCGGAGGCCGGTGTCCGCGTCTCCCGCCCCCGCGCCCCAGGCCCCGAGCCCCGGCCTGGTCCCCGGCGCTCCTCCCGCGCCCCCGGGGCCCCCGGCCGCCCCGCGGCCCCCAGAACTCTCGAGGCTTCCCGTGGAGCGCCTGCGTCAGAATCGGGCCGCGGGCTTCCGCCGCGAGCGGGCCCGGGAACGCGCATTCGGGGGGGGCCGGGGGGGCGCGGGGGCCCGGGGGGCGGAGCGCGTGCGGGCGCCGGGCGGCCCTGTCCCGCGGGCTCGCCGCCTCCGAGGCCGCACCCGCCCGCAAACCCGCCCGCAAACCCGCCCGCAAACCCGCCCGCTCTCCTTCCAGGAGGACCCGGTCCTGGAGCGGTATTTTAAGGGCCACAAAGCTGCGGTCACCTCCGTGGACTTCAGTCCCAGCGGCAAACAGCTTGGTGAGTTCTGGTCGGGTCTGTCTCGCTGTTGTTGCCGGCGAGTTGGCAGGTGCCCCACGAACCGGTCCACGCTGCGCCGCGGGGCGCCCCGGGACCCGGCGGAGGTGCCGCGCGGCGGAGAGGCGGGCCCCGCGCTCCGTGGGTCCGGCCCCTCCCCTCCGCTCCCCTCCGCTCCCCTCCCCCTTCGCTCCCCTCTCCTGTCCTCCCCGACCCTCTCCCCTCCCCTCCCCTCCCCTCCCCCGTCTCCTCCCCTCCCCTACCCCCTCCGCTCCTCTCCGCTGCTCTCTTCTCCTCCCGACCCCCTCCTCTCGCTCCGCTCCCCTCCTCTCCCCTCCCCTTCGCTCCCCTCCCCTCCGCTCCCCTACCCCGTCTCCTCCCTCCTCCCCTCCGCTCCTCTCTTCTCCTCCAGACCTCCTCCTCTCTGCTCCGCTCCCCATCCCCCTCCTCTCCTCCCCGACCCCCCCCTCCCCTCCACCCCCTACCCCGTCCCCTCCCGTCCCCTCCCCTCCCGTCCCCTCCCGTCCCGTCCCCTCCGCGCCGCCCGCGGGCCCCCGCCGGGCCGAGGACTTTCGCGGACTAACCACCAGGAGGAGTGAGTGGGAAGGGGAGGGGTTTGTCCTCGGCCCGGGCCCCGGGAGGGGGGGGGCGGGGGGCGGGGGGAGGGTGGGGTGTTGGCTGGAGAGTTTGTGAAAAGTTGTGAGCGGAGCAGGAGGAAGCGGGGAGAGAGAAGTTGTGGCTGCGCCGGACGCCGAGGCCCGAGCGGCGAGCGGCGGCAGGTGACCCCGGCAGCGGCCCCGAGGCTCGCTCCTGCCCGAGCCCCGAGCCCCGAGCCCCAGCTCCCTCCGCGGGCCGCAGCCCCCCTGCCGGCGGCGTCCGCGCCCGTAGCCATGAGGGTCCGGGTGGCCGCGAGGTGGACCTGGGCGCGCAAAAGCTGCCTGTTGCTGGCGCTTCTGACCGTGGCCTATATCCTGGTGGAGCTCTCGGCCTCCACCTTCCACGCCTCCCCAGCAGCCGACCTCGCCCGGGAGCGGGGCCCCAGGCAGCTCGCAGAGCCCCGGCCAAAGGCAGAGGGGTTGTCCCGACCGCTGTACGAGAAGCCCCCGGCGGACTCCCACGCGCTCGGGGAGTGGGGGAAGGCCAGCAAACTGCAGCTCAGCGAGGGTGAATTGAAGCAGCAAGAAGAACTTATTGAGAGATATGCCATTAACATCTATCTCAGTGACAGGATTTCCCTGCACCGCCACATAGAGGATAAGAGAATGTACGAGTGCAAAGCCAAGACGTTCGACTACCGGCGCCTCCCCACCACCTCCGTTATCATCGCTTTCTATAATGAAGCCTGGTCGACCCTGCTCCGCACCATCCACAGTGTCTTAGAGACCTCTCCGGCAGTGCTTTTGAAGGAGATCATCCTGGTGGATGACTTGAGCGACCGAGCTTATTTGAAGACGCAGCTCGAAACTTACATCAGCGACCTCGACAGAGTCCGCCTGATTAGAACAAGTAAGCGCGAGGGGCTGGTGAGAGCCCGCCTCATTGGGGCCACTTTCGCCACTGGGGACGTCCTCACTTTCCTGGATTGTCACTGTGAGTGTAACTCTGGCTGGTTAGAACCACTCTTGGAAAGAATTAGTGAAGACGAAACAGCAGTCGTTTGTCCTGTTATAGACACCATCGATTGGAATACTTTTGAATTTTATATGCAGACCGGGGAGCCCATGATTGGGGGGTTTGACTGGCGCTTAACCTTCCAATGGCACTCTGTCCCCAAACATGAGAGGGACAGACGGAAATCGAGAATTGACCCCATCAGATCGCCCACCATGGCTGGAGGACTGTTTGCCGTCAGCAAGAAATATTTTCACTACCTTGGAACTTACGACACTGGAATGGAAGTGTGGGGAGGTGAAAACCTTGAGCTATCTTTTAGGGTGTGGCAGTGTGGCGGGAAATTGGAGATCCACCCGTGTTCCCATGTGGGCCATGTGTTCCCCAAGCGGGCACCATATGCTCGGCCCAATTTCCTCCAGAATACTGCCCGGGCAGCGGAAGTGTGGATGGATGAGTACAAAGAGCATTTCTACAACCGAAACCCTCCAGCGAGGAAAGAAGCTTATGGTGATATTTCTGAAAGGAAATTACTACGAGAGCGGCTGAAGTGCAAGAGCTTTGACTGGTATTTGAAAAACGTATTTCCTAATTTACACGTCCCAGAGGATAGGCCAGGCTGGCATGGAGCTATTCGCAGTATGGGAATCTCTTCTGAGTGTTTAGATTATAATTCTCCCGACAACAACCCGACAGGTGCCAACCTTTCGCTCTTTGGATGCCACGGTCAAGGAGGCAATCAATTCTTTGAATATACTTCAAACAAAGAGATAAGGTTTAACTCTGTGACAGAGTTATGTGCAGAGGTTCCTGAGCAAAAAAAATACGTAGGGATGCAAAATTGTCCAAAAGACGGGTTCCCTGTTCCAGCAAACATTGTTTGGCATTTTAGAGAGGACGGGACCATTTTTCATCCACACTCAGGGCTGTGTCTTAGTGCCTTCCGGACACCTGAGGGTCGATCTGATGTTCAGATGAGAACTTGTGATGCTCTAGATAAAAATCAAATCTGGAAGTTTGAGAAATAGAAGAGCATAATATTATGCACTTTCTTTCTGAGCTGACCATAGCTTCAAGAAAGTCAAAGAGCCTTTAAAGAATCTCAGTGAAGATTGTATTTTATCAGAAATCACTCACTGGTCATCTGCGAGAGCTCTGTGAAAGCTGTTTCATTTTGGTATAGAACACTGAAAGTGGGTGCCTAGAGAGCTGCTGTTTAATATTTCAAAGTGCCTTACTCATACGTTGTTTTATTTAAGAGCTTTGTCAGTATGGTTTCTTCTCCTTAAAGAAGTTGACTGTGAATTGAGATACACAAAACATTTAAGCGCCAGACTTGATACTAAAGAATGTAAAAGTCTAAGCAGAATGAAGGATGATTTATGTTGACGAGTAAGTTTGTTTGCCCATCCCTTTAAAAACAAAACTCGCAAATGGCGTGGTTTGAGCTATTGCTGTTTTGGTTGTATATAGGATTTGAATTTCTTTTAGCCAACACATTACATTTTAGGTGTTATTTCTTTAATTTTAATTTTCCTTTAATCAACGAGAAATCAAAGAAAGTTGATCTTAAGGAAAAAAGTTTAGATGTATGTTTCATTGGAAGAGGGCATTAATTTGAATGTGAGTTCGGATGTCTTTTTAACATGCAGACATCTCGGAAAAAAGTACACCCGCATCTGAATGAAACGGGGCGATATTTACATTCCACACTCGGTGAGCTATTACACTTCACTGATCTGTATTGATACCTCATATTGCTCTGAATTTGTAAGCTGTTCTCTCTGTGAACTCTTTTTGTGTGTGGGGGTCATTTTCTGGTTGCACTTCCTTAAGTTATGAATGTCCTGGAGAGGGACTCATTCACAACATTGTGCTTCCCTTTGTTAATGCTTAATTGTTTAAAGTAAACACAGTTGTTGGCTCTCTGAAGTTAAACCCAACTGTGTTTACTGAAATGTGTGAAACTGAAAGTGGGCCCCAAGCTACAAAGGCTGTGGGATTCTTCGAGTCATTCTTCCTGATGAGGAAGGATTTATCATAAACCAAGGAGAAAGACTGCCTGGGCACTGGTGAATAATGCTGCCTTGCAGCCTGTTTTCAGCACCAAGCCGGGCACTCAGGCAGCTTTCAGAAAGTGGGTGCATGAATGAATGATGAATGAATCAATGAATGAATGAATAGCTCAGCCGTGGTCCTTTCATGATTTTGGTCCTGTCATTTGACCAAAAGACTCTGTTTGGGTTTTAGTTTTCTCATCTGTAAAACGTGGGTGCTGGATTAGATCTCAGAGATCCCTTCCAGCTCTGAAATGTTGTGATTACATATTAAAATCAATCTTGCAGTCTTTATAACACTTTTTATGTCTTCACTTTTAACACCAATAATGTGGGGCAACTTTCAGTCCAGTTATGAAGCTGGAAAAGAGGGAGTTTTAAAATTAAGTGAGCTGAGGGGCACCTGGGTGGCTCAGTTGGTTAAGGGCCCGGCTCTTGATTTTAGCTCAGGTCATGATCTCTGGAGTCATGGGATTGAGCCCCACATCTGTGGGCTCTGTGCTAAGGGGGGGCACCCACATGAGATCCTCTCCTTCCCTCTGCCCCTCCCCACTCTCTCTCTCTCTCTCTTTCTTTCGAATGAGTAAATCTCTAAACAAAAATTAAGTGAGCTGAGCTCAACTGAAGTGGTTTAGTTTGAATTGAGTGGAAAGTTGTGGTCAGTGTTTGTATTCGTTTTATTTTGACAGTCGTTGAACCAATTTTGTTTTTATCTTTACCCTTTCAAACTCTAAAAGTAATCTTTTGGCCTAAGAATATAAATACTTTCCAAAACAAATGATCCCTTTAAATTGCTGTTTTAATCATATTTTTAAAAGAGCACAAAAAATGTTGGGGTTCAGATTAATCTCTTTCGAACAATGGATTTTTTTTCCTGTATGATGAGCAGTTTCCATCCTCTTTTCTCCCTTTGTTAATGGTTTTTGCAATATTGATTAAGACATAAAATAAAATGTGTGGCTAATTATTTTTGCAAATGGATTCTAATGATTTTAGTCTGTGGGGTCATTGTTTCTATTGTGCACATTTGTTGATGGTAACAGAGGTGAGTTGAGTTTGTAATTATTTTGCTTGTTTGAAAATATGGACAAAATATTAAAAAGTAAAAGTTCCTGCATTATTTTGCAAGGTGTCATTAACCAAATATTCTGAAGTGGTGTTAGCACTATTAATGCATGCATTAACTATTTATAAACAAACAAGAAATGATCCCCCAGGGCTCTGGGACCCACTGGGGAAACAAGTGAGCACCTGGGCACAGTAACACCAATTTCAAAACCTTAGGCTAAAAAGAAATATGTCTATTCTGTAAAGCACATAGCCTCACATTTCCCTTAACCTTCTTTCTGCATCACCCCATCCCAAGTGCCTTTCCTGTCCACCAGTCACATCTCTCCTCCTCCTTAGTGATTCTGCCCACTGCCCTATTCCTCTGCATCTCCACAGCCTGCCACGCTGCCTGGGAATTCTCTTCCTAGTGCGAGTGCGCAGTGGGGAATCACTATGCTAAGACGTCAGATGTCTTACAGCCACATACTTGAGCTCAATGTTATTTTTACTGATCTTTTGTTTTATATATAGTTTAAAAAATTACTATAAATACATATGTTATAATCTTGCTCTCCTACTAAGTGATGGCAATCCTGTGCAAATCATTTTATCTCTGTTTCAGTTTCATGAAAGTAAAAAATGACTGGGAAAATCATAGAGACAGTACATAGTGTTTGCCAGGGGCTGGGGGAGGGAGGACCAGAGAATTGTTGCTAATGAGGATGGGGATTTTTCTGTGGGCAGGTGGGGATGTGATGAGAATGTTCTGGAATTAGATAATGACAATGGTTGTACAACTTTGATTTTTTTTAAAAAAGATTTTATTTATTTATTTATAAGAGACGGGGGGAGGGGGCAGAGACACAGGCAGAGGGAGGAGCAGGTTCCATGCAAGGAGCCTGATGTGGGACTCGATCCTGGGACTTCAGGATCACACCCTGAGCTGAAGGCAGATGTTCAACCGCTGAGCCACCAGGCATCCCTCATTGTACAACTTTGGGTAATAAATTGAATTATAGCTGTAAGTGGAAATCAGTTTTTATTGGAATTTTTTCCTAAAATTAAGGAAAAACTTCAGTCAATCCTTTTGAACAGGAAGTAGGAGTTATTATAAAAGGTGAAATGAGTTTGTGAATTGTGTAGAACTGAAGAGTAGACAAGTCCTTACAACTTGCTAATAATCAGACACTACTTTTCCTTTTGTGCCAAGCTCAGTCACTTTCTCAGGTTGGCCTGGGAGAGTTGTCTACTGCAGGCCAGGGGGTGTCCTTGGCTCTCTGGTTACTATTCTAACTCTCTTGTTTGCATGTATCTAATCTTGTTCAAAGGGGGAAATGGGAGGTACTCTATTTATTTAGTACTTCTTTATTTAGTTAATGCTGCTGTGTGCCAGATGCTGCTTTATGCCCTGGGTATACATTCAGAAGTGAACAAAACACGTATGCTTCTTCAGATGGAATTCACAGTCCAATGAGAGAGACAAATATTAATTAGTAAACACACAAATCATGTGCAGGTACAACTGGAAACAGGAAAAGGTGAACACACTGTAAAGAAAAGAAAGAGTTCTTTGAAGAATAACAGTGGTGACATATGTTTTTGGGATCAAGGAACACTCCTCTGTGGGAGTTCAATTTAGCTCAAGGACTGAAGAAGGAGTTAGCTAGGCAAAGACTAGAGAGAGAATAGCATATGCAAAGACCAAGGGTGGGGAAGAACTTGTCCTTGATCAAGGAAATAGAAGGCCAGAGGCACCTGGCTGGCTCATTCAGAAGAGCATGCAACTCTTCATCTCAGGGTTGTGAGTTTAAGCCCTGTGATGGCTGTAGAGATTACAGTTGTGGAGAGTGATTATCAATTGTATAAGGAGAAAAATGAAAAAAAAAAGTATATAGTGTGTGTTTATATATACATGTATATTTTATATATTATATATGTAAAAAATCTTCAGAAAAAAATTCCTTAAAAAAAAAAAAAAGACCAGAAGAGATAGAGTCTGTAGCTTTGGGAATTGAGTTTCCACAGGAAGGCGGAGGCAGTTTGGGGAAGGTCTGGGAGGTTAGACTAGGTCAAATGGTGGTGCTTTAAAAGATAAGTTTATGTCCCTGAAACCTGTAAATGTGACCTTGTGTGTGTGTGGGGGGAGTCCTTTCCAGATGTAATTAAGTTAAATATCTTCAAAAGAGATCATCCTGGATTATCTTGGTGAGCCTTGAATCCAATGACAAACGTTCTTATGAGAGACACACAGAGGAGATAAGAGAAGAAGGCTGTGTGAAGCCAGAGGCAGGGATTGGAGTCATGCAGCCATGAGCCAGAGATCTTCTGGAGGCATCAGACATTGGAAGAGGCAAGGACTGGGATCTCCTTTAGAACTTAGATTCTTGCCAGCACCTTGATTTTGTACTTCTGGTCTTCAGCACTGTACAAGAAAATTTCCTTTGCTTTGAGCCTCCCAGTTTATGGCAACTTACTATGGCAGCCACAGGAAACTAAGGCAGAGGCCATATTTTAGGAATTTGGTTCTGAAAGTTATAAAAAGTTGTTGAAGGATTTTAAGTAAGGGAATGGCATGGTCTGATTTATACCTCAAAAAGATCATTGTGGCTATTATGTGGATACTGAACTATATTAGTAGAGAAATAAGTTAGGAGCTATTTTAGTAACAACAACAGGAGATGACGGTGGTTCAAACTAAGATGGTGGCCTTCAAATTAGGGCAGTAATCTGGGAAAGAGAAATTTGGGAGTTGTTAGCATACAGATGGTATTTAAAGTTGTCAAAAATTCAGAAATAATAAGTAAAACCAAGCAATCTCTGAAATAGAAATTAGTAAAAGTTTGTTGTGTGTATACCATAAAGACAGTTTGCAAACTGAGAGTACTCAAAACATGGAAGGAGGCTCAGAGGTACCTTATAAAGCAGCTTTTGTACTAAGAGAGCACTGACTTTATTCCACGCTGATTGCTTGTAATATTAGAATTTTCTTAAATGATAGGGTATTGGTCAGCAGTTAACCTTGGGAAACAGTTCAAGTTTTGATTATGATTTCCAGAGACATAAGCAAGAAATGATCCAGATCAAGTTAGTTTTACAAAATAAGCTAAATTAATCATTGTTTGTATGACTAAATAGGTTTTGTCTGCTCAGGGAATTTTCAAGGCTGGCCTCCATTTGTTTTTGATTTTTAGCAGTAATGGGAATATTTGAGATCACCTGGGAAGAACATAGAACAATGAGGGCAATGGCCCAAGTCTGAGTCCTAAAGATCTCCAACCTCTAGACCAGAAGAAGAAATGGCAAAAGAATCTAAGAAGGAATCCATGACAGTAGAGTATCACGAAAGCCAAGGTCCAGGGTGGAGTAGAATTGTTGAATTGAAAGGAGAAGATACTAGATAGCCATTAAGGGGATGGGGGGGTGGGGGGCTGGGTGGCTCACTCAGTTAAGCACCTGACTCTTGATTTTGGTTCAGGTCATGATCCCAGGGCCGTGAGATCGAGTTCCACATCAGGCTCTGTGTCATTAGGAGAATGGGGAGGGGACTGTCACAGAACTAAGCACTGCTGGGCAGTGTAGAAGATCCATGTGAAATGAGTGGTTCTGAATTTACAGTGTTTCCAGCCTGTTTGGGGGTTGGATCTAGCCCTTTTCACTGGTACAGATATGGTCCCAAAAAAGGCAGAGTGATTGGGACTTGGCTGGGGAAATTTGAAGGAAGGAGGGAGGGCCAAGGGGTTGAATATATGTGTAAGAGAGTGATTATAAGTTGGAGAGAGAAATGAAGACAATGAGAGAGCCTCAGGGGAGAATATAGGTCAACAGATTGGAGTTCTGCCCAAGATAGAAGTAACTTGACTCTGCCGTAAGGAGTACTGGTCGTCAGGATGCTGACTTTCAGTTCATGATCTGAGAATGTTCAGGTTCTGCTGATGACAAGATGCAGGGTGTGGCCACTGAACGAGTTGCTGAGGAAGTGTGGAAGAAAAGAGCTTTGGAGAGTCGCTGGTTGTCCCTTTGGTCTGAATTGCTCTTCATTTTCACTCTGCTTGGCTGGCTCCTTCTTGTCCTTGATGCCTCTACTTAAAATGCTACTAATAACTCATCTAAATTAAGTATTCCACCCCCACACAAAATTCTCTTTATGACTTCCTGACTTATCTTTCATGTCTGTTAGCACAATTTAAAATGATATGTTTGCCTGTTATTGACTTGTTTGCCTCTTCTTCATCTGAATGCAAGCTCCCTGGTTAGAGATTTTGCATATTTTGTTACTTAGGACTTTCCCCGCCCCTGCCTACAATGTGTTGTAGGGGTGAGATATCTATTGAATGAGCTACTAATATCAGGAGTTGGAGAGGAAAATTGTGACCCGACGTAGGTGAAATGTGAAAGAGAAAATGATTGCCCCTTGAGAGGGTTTCAGGGAACTTGGGGCTCCCAAGCAGAGTCAGGGATAAGTGGTTGAGGAGAAGGGACTTTCAGGGAGGAGAAGGTGGGTATAGGGAGAGCATCTAGTGGGTGTTTATCTGGCCCAGTGGTAACTTTTGGAAAGGAGAGCATAGGTGTTGGGTCAGCCAGGGGGACATCCAAGCATTCTGGGAGTGAGTACGTGTGATTGATGACCAGAGGGGCTCAAGGCTTCTACTTCTGGTCATGGCTGAGAGAAACAGAACATAAAGTATGGCAGATTTATACCTGATAGCCTTTTAGAAGGTGGTGGGCTCTTGGGTTTCACAGGGTGGGTTGGGAAGGATCGAGGAAAGGGGATGGGAAGACTCAGTAACCTGTGAAGTGTTTCCATCCCTTTTTACAGATGAAGGTTCAGTAACTTTGCTGAACTCTATAGGGCTAGTTTGGAGTCTGATTCCTTTTAGACCATGCTTACTACACTAGTGAGATAATTACTTAGTGTCAGCTAGAAGGAACACATGATTAAATATTCCCTCATTCAGGGCAGAGGAGTGTTCAGTTAGTGCCATCATTTATTTATATTATTATTACAGTACTTGAATAGCACAAACTAATTCTGAAAGTAGTAAAGTTTATCTAGTGAAGATTAGAATA